GAGGAAGCCTGATGGGCCAGCCTGTAGGCCAGTCTTTTTTAGCATTTATACTTTTGTCCCCACCTGTATCTAGTAAGCCTAGAATCCGTTTGCCATCTATGTCAAGTTCTAGGACTGGTCTCTGGTTTAAGTCCAGAGACAGAAAAGTTAGGTCTGTCCCCGTGGATCCGAAACAATCTTTCCCCCTTTTCTTAGGCTGTGCAGCGAATTGCTCATGGAGACTGGGCAAAAGCAAAAGCTGGGCGATCCGGTCCCCAGGGGAGATAACGTCACTCCCCTGGGCGATTCTACCATGATCTTTATTGTGCCGGCATAGTCTGGGTCAATTATCCCTGGATGCACTCTGAGGCCTCTCACGGTAGTGGAGGATCTTCCCAAGAGAAGCCCCACCGTGCCTGGCTCCAGGGGTCACTGAAAATCTGCCTCCACTAACTGGACCCCCTTTTGGGGAGTCAATAGGAGTTGAGCGGTGGAACGGAGGTCCAATCCCGCCGAGCCTGTAGTGGCTCTCCTCGGTTCTTGGGGTGTGGGAGAGTAGACCGGGCTGCCGACAGCCAAAGCCGCCTCCTAAGTCTCCCTCACTCTTTCTTTCTGGGCATTCCCTTTTCATATGTCCTATTTTGCCGCATCTAAAGCAGGCACCTGGGTTCCCTTTCGCACCCCGGGTTAACTGGACTACTGCGGCTGCAAGGCCAGCATTGGTTAGCGGCTCGCCAAGTTCCCTGCAGATTTTTGTTCATGTCTCCATCCCTCTATTTGTATAAGGGGTGATAGCAGTCCTGCATTCCTTAGTGCATTGCTCGTATACCAGCTGCTTTATCAAGGGCATGGCCGCCTCGGCATTTCCAAACACTCTCTCAGCAGCCTCAATCATGCGGGTAACGAAATCAGCAAATGGCTCCATGGGCTCCTGTACTACCTTTGTAAGGTTACCTGTCACCTCCCCTTTGTTGGGTATGGATTTCCAGGCTCTAACAGCAATCTGATTAACCTGAATGGAGTAACCTGTCTGCTGAACTGTGTAGGGACCCTGGCCGAGGAGCATTTTCTTATTCCAGCCAGCTCTTTCGGGACCACCCATAGTCTGGTTAATTGCCGCCTGTTCTTCTACAAACTCACTGAAAAATGCCTTCCACTCTAAGTACTGCCCTGGGCTAAGACAGGCGCGGGCTAGATTCATCCAGTCAGTAGGTGTAATGCAGAGACGGGTGAGGGTTTCCACGAGGGAGACAGTAAAGGATGCAGAGACCCCATATGTTCTCACTGACTCCGCCAGGGCCTTGACGGTTTTAAAGTCTAAGGGCTCATAATACATCTGCCTCTGTGGGTCAGTGAACACTGGAAATGCCACCGGCAAGTCAGCTTGGACCTGTTGCCAAACCTGGGGGCAACGGGAGGCTCCAGTACCCGTACTGCCCGAGTCATTATAGGGCAGGGGAGGGGGAGCAGACGGCAAGCTAATGCCCCTGGACGGCCCTCCTTTGTCTGTTCTCTTCTTTAGCCTTAGTCCTTTTAGCGCTGATGTCACCTGTTGCTGTTCCTGCTCCTCCTCTGTCTTTGACCCTTCCTCGGCGTCGGAGGTATCCATCCCATCCAGGCCTTTAAGGTCAGGGTAAACCCCTTTTCCCTTTGTGCTCTCCCTTTCACTGCTTGTATGTTCAGACCTCTCTTCCTGTAACATTTCTAGGGCTGCCTGTCCATTCTCCACCGCCTCACTGCACTTTTGTTCTTCAAGACAGCTCTTTACCAAAAACTGGCCTCACCCCAGCCTTGAGCATCCCCTGATCTGCGGCAAAATCAAGGTCCTTGCCTAGCTTTTCCATGAAGGGATAGTAAGGCTCCCGGAGATCGAGAACCAGGGTGCAATGGTATCACACTCCTCTAAGAACCTTTTTAGAGTACCTTTTTTAATCTTTAAATTTTTTGAACGAAGTAACTCACTTAGAGCCAGAAAAATTGGATGAGAAGTTGAGTTTCCCAGCAGCAGGCAAAAAGGAAATACCAGATAAATGCGTTCAGAAGACCCAGATAGCCAGGAGCAGAAAAGGATCCATAAACGACCTCTACTCCTTTTACTTTCATTCAGCACTCTTGCAGGCCCAAGACGCTCTGTCTTTATCCACAGAGGGAGCAACAAAACCCCGCTCTTGTCTCGGTCCTTTTACCCCACTTTGTCATGGTTATTTTCCCACTCTTGACGCGGATCCCCCTCTTACCTGGGGACTTACCAGTGCACTGCCCTAACCACAAGAAGTTCTGAGTCCTCACCAGTTGCCGCGAACGGCTCGACCAGCAAGGAAGATGTGACACAGGAACTCTTCTCCAAGCGGTTTATTCAGGAACCTTGAACAGTCTTCTGACCCCAGGGAAAGCCAGCCCACAGCTTATATGGCCTAGGCATAGCCAACCCTAGCACGCCACTTGGCGATAGCAGATAGGTCCACATACACGGAAGCAAGCCTGGATCCAAGCCTTGGCCAAATATGGAGTTGTTTACTCAGAAAGCCGGGAGGGTGGTAGGCAGAAGCCGGCGCCATCTTTAGTCCTGGCTGTCTTGGAAGTCACTTTGTAGACCAGGCTGGCCTCAAATTCAGAGATCTGCCTGCCTCTGCTTCTTCGAGGGGAAGTTTAGAGTTACTTTTTAAATTTTTTTGGTCAAAGTTGAATTTAAAAAATGGGGGTGGGGTGGGCAGTGGTGGCACCCATGCCTTTAATCCCAGCACAAGGGAGGCAGAGGGAGGCAGAGGCCTCTGTCTCTGTGAGTTCGAGGCCAGCCTAGTCTATAGAGCTAGTTCCAAGACAAGCTCCAAAGCTACACAGAAAAGTGCTGTCTCAAAGACAAAACAAAAAAACAAAACCATAAAAACTTAGCACTTTCAGGATTGAGCATGGGAGAATATTTTTTTTAACATTAACCACGTGGAGCTTATTAAAGGGGAGGAGGGGAGAAGAGAGAGAGAGAAAGGGGGGGAGAGTAAGAGGAGGGTATGAGAAGAGCAAGAGGAGAGAGCCAAGAGAAGAACAAGCAACATGGGAGAATTTTGCAGGTCAAGAATTAAGCAAAGAGCCTTTAGAGTTGGCATCAGGTACATTGTCCATAAAGGAGAAGATTGATAACTGCACATCATCAGTATTTCAGATGCTTGTTTTGTCAAAGGCCCTGTTCAGAGGACGAATAGGAAAGATAGACTAGCCACCTGTGGTGGTACATGCGTTTAATCCCAGCACTTTTCAGATAGACGCAGGTGGATCTCTGAGTTTGAGTCGAGCCTGGTCTACAGAATGAGTTCCTACCGCTAGGGCTACACAGAGAGACCCTGTCTTGAAAACCAAAAATCCAACAAACAAAAAAGAGACTAGAAGAAAAGTTTACAAGTCCTTATCCAACTAAGGACTTTTATCTACAGAGGAAAAAAAAAAACTCTTAAAGCCCAATAATTAGCAAACCAAAAAAAAATCCTTAAATATAGACAAAATTCATAAACAGATAATTCACCCAAAAATGAAATATGTACTAATAAGCACTAGGAGAGATGGTCCCCATTTGTAGCCAGTTTAAAGAAATTCGAACTAAGGATACAGTGAGTGATTATACCTGAGCAGAGATGCTTGGGCCTCTCATCCATTGCTGGTGGAGATGTAAATAGAACAGTTCAGCCACTCTAAAAAAAACCAATTCAGGGGGCTGTAGAGATGGCTCAGCGGTTAAGAGCACTGCTTGCTCTTCCGAAGGTCCTGAGTTCAAATTCCAGCAACCACATGGTGGCTCACAACCATCTATAATGAAATCTGGTTCCCTCTTCTGGCATGCAGACATACATGCAAGCAGAATACTGTGTATGTAATAAATAGATAATTAAAAAAAACAATTCAGTGTGGTAGTTTTTTTGTTGTCATCTTTGAGTGAATTTGTAATTACTCTCCAGTCTAGTAAGTACTCTCCTAAGCATTTATTCTAAAGAAGTAGGTAATTATGGTCATACAAAACCCTGTACGTGGATACTTATAAGAGCTTCATTCCTAGTAGCCAGAAGCTGTAAATAAGACACACTGTTAACTGGGTTAGGTGGTCAGTAGCATGGTATGGTGGTACACCCACAGCTCTGGATATAGCAGCACAGATGATGAACTGATGACCCCAAGAGCCACCTGAATGAGCCTTCAGAGAGTTCTGTTGAGTGACAGTTTTTACTGTGTTGGGAACAAATGAATGGTTGTGAAGCAGTGCTACAAGGGCAGTCACAAGCAGACCCTGTGGCAGTGAGCAGTTCTTTGTGTTGATTATGGCGATTATTGTGCAGCTTATAGTGGGACTTTCCTTTGGGCCACCAGCTTACAAATGACAACATGGAGACTTATGATTAATTATGAAAGCTCAGCCTATAGCTTAGGCTTGTTCCAAACTGGCTATTATTACTTAAATTAACCCATTTATATTAATCTACACTCTATCACGTGTCATTAGCTCTCTTCCAACTTTCACTTCCTGTTTCCTCTCTGTCTCCTGGCATCTCCCCTGTGCTCAATTATCTTCTCCAACTTCCTCACTCTTCCCGGAAGTCCCCCTAGCTGTTGGCTGTTCGGCTCTTTTTTACACCAATCACAGCAATATATCTTCACACAGTGTCAAATATCCCACAACAAGCAGCTACATGTGGCAGTATTACATATGGACAAACTATGTAACTATTGAAATCTGAATCGAATTTATGGATGCTTGGTTTGTGTAACGTACTCTGGAAATATGCCCTTCCCGTTTGGGAAGAATTTGGTTGAAGAGTATACAGGACTTCTGCTACTTTTTATATTTATTGTAACTTCCTATGAATCTGTTTAAATTGTTTCAGTATAAAAGCCCAACCCCAAGGAAAAGCACTAAAGAAAGTTTTGCAGAACTATGGAAAGTCTGATTGAGTGTCGCAGATTTTAAGATTTTCTAAGACAGCATTAAACGAAGTATATTTTAAAGCAAGAAAATAATGTCTTTTGCTTTGTTTTAGAAAGAAGAAGTAAACGAATGTGGTGAAATTGTTGACCGAAACAATTTGAAACGGTCACAAAGCCATCTTCCTTACTTTGCTCCTAAGCCACCTCCAGACAGTGCAATTATCAAAGCCGGGTATTGTGTGAAACAAGGAGCCGTGGTGAGTAGCTTAATCATACATGTGAAGTTGGGATGGTTATGTGCTAGCAAGCTTGCAAGTCGTAATTCAAGTTGTATGCTTTATTTTTGAAAGGCCCAGAGTGGAGAGCAGTCTGTTGCTGGGAAGGGTAGAGAGGGGTTGCTCCATGTTTATCACACAGCATAGTATTTCCTTGATCTTTGGGCAGCTGGGTAAGTTAACGCATATTTCCACAAACATTTAGTTGCAGTGAGCTTTCCTAAGTTTAGGTTCATGACAAAGGGTTTCGCTTGTTTATTTTTTAATTAAAAACTTTAGTTTGTGTATGTGTGTGCATATATGGGTGAGGGAAAGAAGCATGAATGCAATTCTTTTGCTTTGAAATCAGAAGACAACTTTGTCAGTTCTCTCTCTTCACCTGCACTTGGATTCCAAGGCTCATATTCAGGCAACTGCCTTTACCTGCTGAGCCATCTTAACCCCCAGAAAGTTCTTCTGTTATTTCCCACACCCTCAGAAATTGTCAGGTTTAGAACCATAGGAGAAGTGGAAGTACCAGACGGAGTGGCTCCCAGAGAACAGCTCTGAGGTTGGGCTACTTAATCTCCCAGGCTTCCAAATTTATTTTATGGGAGGCTGTTTTATAAAACCTATGGTCTATGGTTTTTGAAAGAGACAAATGACAGGTATAGCTTTTGGCACAGCTCCAGGTGCTAAACAAGCACCACAGGTGAGTCCAGGTTGTCCCCATTATCAGTGTCATGGTAAGAGATTTCTGCATCTGTCTGTCTTTCTGTTGGTTTTCTGAGACAGGGTTTGTCTGTGGCTTTGGAGGCTGTCCTGGAACTCGGTCTTGTAGACCAGGCTGGTGTCGAACTCACAGAGATCCGTCTGCCTCTGCCTCTGCCTCTGCCTCCCGAGTGCTGGGATTAAAGGCTTGCGCCACCACCGCCCGGCATCCAGTATTTTTAAGACTCCAGGTATTTTTCTGCCAGGTGCTGTGGTTTACACCTATAATCCTAGTGTTTGAACTCAGTATTATGCTGACCCTGCCCCCTGACAATGGGTGAGACATGCATATCAGCATTCAGACAGATAACTTAAGCGGCTCAAACGGCCCTGTGTTGAGTGGCCATGTCATGGCTACATTACGTATTATGGGGCTGCGTAAGGACTCAGTACGCATGTGCAAGCTTCCCCTTTTAAGAGAGCGCCTCCACATGTTCTCTTCTCTCCCTCCCTCCCCCCCTCTTTTCTCTCTCCCTTTTCTGACCCTCTTAACCCCTTCCCTTCTCTCTTTCTCTCCCCCTTCCCCCTTTTCTTCTTTCCTTTCCTTTCAATAAACTCCACATGGGTTTGTTGAGTCTCGTGGTTCGTGTTTTCATGTGGTTCGTGTTTTCATCTATTCGTGACTGAAGCATGGTTTCCTGTTCCATCTACTCTACTTGTAACTGAAACAAAAGAACAACACCTAGTATTTGGGAGACTGAGGAGGGAAGGAAAGAAAGTTCTAGGTTAGCCTGAGCCATATAGCAAACTTGACATTTTGTTTGTTTGTTTTGATTTTTTTTTTGAGACAGGGTTTCTCTGTAGCCCTGGCTGTCCTGGAATTCTCTGTAGACTAGGCTGCTGACCTTGAACTCAGAGATCTGTCTTTCTCTACCTCCAGAGTGCTGGGATTAAAGGTGTGCTGCAGCACTACCTCCCAACTGATGGGTTTTTTTTGTTTTTTTTTAAATCAACTTTTCTAAAGTTTATTCTGTATGAACTAAATCTTGAGAATCCAAAGAGAAGATAAAGTTAACATTTGAAAACAAAAGGAAAAAAATGTGAATAAAGAAATACTTCAGATTCTCCTGGTAATTCTGCTTGATTGTTCTCCAATTTCTGGCAGCTCAGTTTGGGAACATTCTTGCCTATTGGTTCACTGGTCCCAGGGAAAGGAAGGTGGGGCCAGAGGTTTCTCAAGGTAGGCTGTCTACAGGTAGAGGTAGAATATCCCCAGGCTGTGAGGTTTAGTTGTAGGCTCATTAGGTTTTTAAAGAGGTAACCTTTATTCCTAAATCTTAAAAAAAAATATTTACAGATTTTTTTCCTTAGTTTTTTGATATTTTTATCTAATTTTATGTGTATGTGTTTACTTAAATGTGCATCTGTGTACCATGTGTGTACCATGTGTGCTGTGATAGAGGAGGCCAGCAGGAGAGTGTAGGAACCCCCTGGAACTGAACTTAGAGACAGTTATGAGCTGCTGTGTGGGTGCTAAGAACTGAACATTCTTAACCACTGGGCCATCCCTCCAACACTGTTTACAGATACTTTTGGGTGCTAAAAAACTGACATAAATATTCATATGAATGTGTGTTAAATATTTTCTGTATGGGTTTGTTCTATTTTGTGTTTATTGCTGACCTGTTATATCTGAAATACTTGAAATATGTGTTGTGGATAGAGAAACCTGATGGGAAGACATTTCCCATGCTGATCTTTACTTTGTAGTCTGGGCTGGCAAGAAGGGAAGGAAATACCTTTTCTTTCTTTTCCACTGCTGGAGATCAAAATTTGAAATACTGGGCTGGAGAGATGGCTCAGCAATTAAGAGCACTGACTGTTCTTCCAGAGGCCCCTGAGTTCAATTCCCAGCAACCACATGGTGGCTCACAACCATCAGTAGAGGGATCTGATACCCTCTTCTGGTATAAAGTCATGCATGCAAATAGAGAAATCATACATATAAAATAAATAAATCTTAAAAAAATCTGAGGGTCTGGAGAGATGGCTCAGCAGTTAAGAGTGCTGACTACTCTTCCAGAGGACCTGGGTTTGATTCCCAGCACCCAGTTCCACACATATATGCAAGCAAAACACCAATGCACATAAAATAAAAATAAAGTTTTTTTTTAAAATCTGAAATACCAGAGTCATCCACAAACTCAAAAGTGAGTTGCTCAAAGCTGAGGCCATTATTCAAGGCCTGATGGGAGAAGGTGCCATTTACCACTTACCTCGGGGTGGGGTGTGAGGGGGGTGGGTGTTATTTCTGCGTGCTTGGTATTTCTGATTGTGGGTTCTTATTTGAATGATTAAGGGATGATTTTCATTGGACAGTCTTTGAAGCCTGTGTCTGTGTCTTCTCTGGTAGATGAAAAACTGGAAGAGAAGATATTTTCAGTTGGATGAAAACACAATAGGCTACTTCAAATCTGAACTGGTATGCAGTTACTTCATAAGTATACTTGGCAAGTTATACTGTAGTGATTGTATGCTTGTGTGCTGTTTTGTTTTTCAAATATTCCGGTTCTGGTTTTGAGGTATCTAAATTTCAGTCTACTTGGTTGTAATACATTTGGTTAGTCACATTTTTCTTTAATGTGTTTTGAATAAAACTACTATATCTTCAAGGAAGCATTCCATTTTGATGGGTCTAAAATTATCACCACCCCCATATGTTAACCTCTGTCTGAGGGGCATTGGAAGATGTGGTGAAAGGAACCCTCCAAAAGCAGCATTCAATTCTTTACTTGTCTTCCTTCTCTGCCCTGCTTTTTCTTAGTCCTTTCTTTTCCCGTTTCATTTGAGATATCTTTGTTATATTCTGAAGGCAGAATCAAAGACTATTTAAGATGTCACGTATCCTGAATCTTACAGTGGATTATTACATAAATTAATGAAATTCTCTACCTCTTCTACAAAAGTGTGAAACTTTTGTATGTTCCATGCTGTATTTGAGTGAAGGCACCAGAACAACACTGTCTTGATATAACTCAACAAACATAGAACCAGATGTAAATAATATGTCTTGGTGTGAATTCATGTGAGTGTATTTGTTTTGAGAAAATGATCATTCCTCCTCCCCTGAAAGAAACCTGGACTCCGTGGAGACATAGCAGATTCTATAGCTGGGAAAAAGAAATAAATTCAAGATGAGCCTAGAATGTCTTATGTCAGAAAGTAAGAACATGTTGAGAAAATGGTAATCACCCAGAAACGGCTTTACAAACAGTTCCCTCACCAAATTATGGACAGTGAGAGTATGAAAATACATAACAATTATAACATTACAGCCTGTCTGTCCATGTGTTCATATAGATGTAACTCAACACTTCAGTGGTGACTGAGTTCGTGTAACTACAGTGAGAGACAAGATGCCTAAATAGGAGCAAGAGCCCAATCTGAGTGCATAGGGAAGAAAACAGCTGGACAGTGGAGGCCTGGCAGACCAGTCCCATCAAGCAGTAGGTGCAGTGAACTTCATTGGTGCCGAGGATGGTGAAACTGCTTACCACCTGGCAGGATAGCATGAAAAGAACACAGCACCAATTCTGTGCTGCTCCTGTTAAAGGTGGATAGTCTGAGTGTGTCCAACAGGTGACAGTAACCATATCCAAGGGAGGGGACAGTCTACAAAATAAAGTAACTGCTGTGATCTGCAGGATTCTATGTTCCTCTTTTGAAGAACTCTTGGTACTAAAGGAAAAGAGAGACAGTGAGCAAGCACTCTCACCCTGTAAGACAATGTGGAAGCCTCTTGCTGACTTTGATGGCCATAATTTGAAGACTTTAGGATAGCAGACTAGAGCAGCAGCTCAGCTTGAAGTGACTGTGCTCTTAGTCTTTTTGTAAATTTCTGATTGTCTCAAGGTTCAAAGAGAAACAGGGAAAATATCTAGTAGGAAAAGAAACAGAAAATACAAACAACTCATTTAGAAAGAAATTAGGCTGAGTGTGGAGCTAAGTGATAGCATGCATACCCAGTGTATCCAAGGCCTTGAGATAGAGCCTCAGCACTACTAAGTGATAAAAATAAACTAGTCTTCAGAAGTATGTAACAGTTCTCAGCATTATTCAGGATTAGGGAAATACAGATGTTCACTGCACAGATAGTTCCCATCAGTCATGAGTCTGTAGCTGAGAAAATAAGTGGAGAATAGGGATTTTTTTTCAAGCTCCAGATTGATATGTGTGTGAGTGGTATTAGAAAAATCACCATGTAGCGGCCAGTAATGATTTCAGGTGAGAATCTTCTATATTTGGTGAAACTGGTGGGAAAATTGTGTTGGAAAATCGAGTACTTCATATAGACTCCAAGTGTCTCAGTAGTGACCAATATGAGTCATACACCACCAATTGGTCAAGTCCACAGTGTGCATCTCCTGGTAGGAATGGCTGCCAAGGAGTCGGTTGCTATGGTTCCTTCTAGAAGCATGTGGCCTAGACATCAGGATAAATAAACATCAGACAGATCCAGGCAAGGACACAGTCTATGAAATAAGTGGATGTTTTACAGCTCTGTAAGATCACAGAAGACCAATGAAGTAGCTACTCTGAAGTAAAGGAGATGAAGAGAAGGGACAGTGCAGCAAGTCTGCTGTAGACTGAATCTTGGGCAAAAAATATGTCAGCTTGTCTTCTGCCATGAAGGATACCTATGGGGAAACTTGTAAGATCAGAATGTGGCTTATGGATTGTGGTCATACTATAGGGATGTTGAGGTTTGGGCTTTATATCTATGCCTTGATCATGGAAAATCTATTTTAGAAGTTAAACACAAGTACCTAGTGTAGATACATAATCTTTAACTTGCCTACAGACATTCCCGAAGTGTATTCAGACACATGTGCACAGGCTAATAGCAAAGCTGGGCTTGCTACACGGTGCCTTCTATGTCAAGATGACATTCCAATAGAGGAAGTAGAGCACCTATTGGTCCTGATGGTATACTACAACCAAGTCTGCTGCTTAGTGACTGTCACTGAGACCAGAATCTGAAACAGTGGTGTCTATTAGGACATAAAAACAAGCTGTCCTGCTGCTGCGAGTTTCAGAAGGTGGAATTGTGTCTGAGATTGACTTGAGCGCCACATAAGATAGCTGTCCCTTGAGATGAAATGTCCTGTGTCTATTTGCTTTTTTTTTTTTACCAGGAAAAGGAACCTCTGCGGGTAATACCACTTAAAGAAGTTCATAAAGTCCAAGAGTGTAAGCAAAGGTAAGGGACTGCCTGACGTTGGCACAGCACAGTTTGAAGAATAGCTTCTCCCCTGGTTCATGAGCTTACAGTGTGTGCTTCTCCCTTCTTGTGTGGATTTTTAACTGTGGTTGAGATATGCTGCAGCTTTTTAATCTGTGAGATATTACAGTATTTTATTTGAACACTAAAAATTGGGAAACAACTCATTTGTAAACCACATTTCAGAAGTAGCTCATTAATGCAAAGGAAAAATTATTATGAGAAATTTCTGAAATTTAACAGATGGAGGTATTTTAGTGTGTCAAGGTGCTGAGAGCAGGTGTCACAAGGAGCTGCATCAGCTGTGCCATGCTGAATTGAATAAACTGTAAACACTTGGACTCTAAAGTTGCTTCATGAATCTTTTCTAAATGAGCTGTGTAAAACATGTGAATTGGAATGCAAACCTGGGGAAAAATAATGTGGTTTTGTTAAATTAGTGTTTTCTCTTTAACATTTATTTATTGACACATATTTGGTACTGAGTAAATAGCTGAAAGAGAAACTATTAAACTGTGATTTATATGCAACTGGATGATTGTTTTTCATAACAGTGACATAATGATGAGGGACAACCTGTTTGAAATTGTAACAACGTCTCGAACTTTTTATGTGCAGGTAAGACTCTTACTTGGAGATTATAGATTCTCTTACAAGAAAGTAATAACATTTAGAGGTGAAATAAATATAAATAAAGCTTGTTGGTTTTGACAAGTCTAATTTGCCAGCTTATTGAAAGATGTCAGATAGTGGGTTGGTGCTGGAATATATGCTCAGAAATGGGGGTGTTCTGTTATGAGTTAGTGAGATGGACCAAAGTCACATTTGGAAGAAAGGAAGTACGGTTTTATTTATATTTTAGCAGTATGCCTTCAAATGTATTATCTTTCAGTGTTTTTCTTTAATATTATTTCTTGTTAACGTTATAAAAAAGGAAGGCCTCATGTATATAAATAAAATTACTGGAAAGAGCATATGTTTTCGTTTATGAGAGTTAATACATTTGCTTATTGTTGAAAAGTTAAATAAATGGTAGTTTATAAAATGTATATACTCCCACATCCATACACTGATTTTTGCAGCAAGCAGGGTCATACTAAATGTATAAAATCTTGTTTGTTTTTTGTGTCTGTTTTTCCTATGCCATTAAAAGTTTTTTGGAAATAGTTGACTCTGGTGGTTTGTGCCTTTAATTGGGATTAAAGACATTCAGGAGACAGGGGCAGGTGGATTCTGGTGAATCCATGGACAGCCAGGGCTGTGTAGTGAGACCCTACCTCAAATAAATAAACAAAGAAATGAATAAATAAATAAAACCACCTCTGTAAATATTTTAGAATTGTATACACCACACCTACTCCATGTATGGCTACTCCACAAATTCTGTTCTTTTGTGACTAAATATTCATTTGCATAATTTTCATACATTTACTGTGAAAGTATGATAATGAGAGCATCTGTTTTAAAATTTGACCTGAATTTCTGATTTCCTTAGATGTTTCTAGGTTAGATTTAACCATCAGAACAGCCGTTCTGCTTTGTCACATTGCCTTCGGTCATTGTGTTCCTACTAGCACCAAATGAAAGTGTACTCTGCCCTGTCCCTCTCCAAGTTCTACCTTTTAAAAATGCTCTTTGAATTGATTGGCATTTGACAGTCTCTGGGAGAGGGGGACGTTTTCTTTACTGATGTGACTCTTGGTAGACTGATCACGTACCAGAGCAGGCCCCACTCTCAAGAATAGCTGTGCAACACAGACTGGACTTGGTGGAGAAGAGGATGTAGAGGGAAGAGCTCAAAGTTGAGTAGAAAGGAATGGGAAAGTAGAGAGAAAGGAGTTACAAGAGGGGGTGAATATCTTCAAAATACAGATAAAGAGTTGCTAAAAAACCACAAAATTCAATATGCACTATACAAAGTACATAGAAAAAACATGACCTTAAACAAATAGGGACAACTGTTTTGCCACAATAAAGTGAAGAATCATCATTTAAGAGAGAAAAAAAAGATATTATTGGCTCAGAAACACTCTGTATTTTACTTTTTTAGAAATTGTAGATTCTAATTTTAGATCACTTCTCAAGGATGAAGGGGTTCTAAAATAACAGAAGATATGTGTTGTTACCTTCTCAGGCTTGTTTTGTGGCCATACCACCTCAATTCTCATATTATTTAAATTCATACTGGCAGTCTTTATCAAGAAATAGGACTATAGCTGGGCATTGGTGGTACTCGCCTTTAATCCTGGCACTTGAGAGGCTAAGGTGAATGAATCTCTGTGAGTTCCAGGCCAGTCTGGTCTACAGAGTGAATTCCAGTACAGTCAGAGTTATTAACACAGAGAAACTGTCTTGAAAAAAAAAAAAAAAGGAAGAGGACTACTTTTGAATTTGACTACCAGTGTCTCTTTAATGCAGTGTCCTACTAGAAATTATTCCTAAAATTAATATGTAAAAGGGTGTCAGAATGGTTTTTAAGGTGGCAGTTATACATGTAGCAAGTTCAGACTGTAGCATTTGACAGCAAAATAAGAACTTTCTTTGGTTTCTTCCTCTTATTTCCTTTCCAAAAACATCATCGGCAATTTTATGTATCTGGTTTTAAAACATGCAGTGCCTATTGTATGTTTCCATATAGTACCTTGTTCAGAAACACCTGGGTTCAAAATAATTTCTAGAACCGGGCTTGGTGGTATATACCTGTAACCATAACTATTCAAAAGGCTGAAGCCGGATGTTCAAGGGCAACATTGATAGAGTGAAGTGAAGGCCAGCCTGAGCAATTTAGTGTACTCTGTCAAAACTAAAACACAAATTTTACAACAAAGGCTTAGTGGTAGAGTGTTTTCTTTGAACATTTGAATGCCTTGGTTTACTTCCCAATAACGTGCTCACACAAAAAGTGCTTTTGGAGGTTGGAAAGGCAGCTCAGAGGTTAAGAGCACTTGCTGCTCTTGCAGAGGACCAAGCTTTATCCCCAGAATCTATGGTGTGTTTCTCACAACTGCCTGTAGCTACAGCTCCAGTGGTGCCCAATGCCCTCTTTTGACTCTGTAGCTGGGAAACACTTGACCAATGACTCATGAGTTTATTGAACCTCACTCCCCTCTCTCTCTCTCTCTCTCTCTCTCTCTCTCTCTCTCTCTCTCTCTCTCTCTCCCCCTCCCCCCCTCTCTCCCCCCCCACACACTAATACATTTTTTAAAAAGGTGAAGCCAGGCATAGTGGAGTACAACTTTAATCCCAGCACTTGGGAGGCAGAGGCAGGTGGATGGCAGGTAGGTCTCTCGAGTTCAGGGCCATCCTGGTCTACAATGAGAGTTCAGGACAGCCAGGGTTACAGAGAGAAATCCTGTCTTGAAAAAACAGAGCAAACAAAAATAAATAAAGCACTTTGAAAACATTTTAAAAAGAAAGTATTGCCTTTGAATGTGTTTGCAGGTAATATATTACTAAGGTATGGAATATATGGAAATAGAAGGTGATTTTTGAGAAATTTGACTGAACCATCTCTTTGATTTCCTTTAGGCTGATAGCCCCGAAGAGATGCATAGTTGGATTAAAGCAGTCTCTGGCGCCATCGTAGCACAGCGGGGACCTGGCAGATCAGCATCTTCTGTAGGTTTTCTCCTCTTGGGGAGACTTTGTCCTATGGAGTTGCTTTCTTCCTCCACCCTAATCCTTCAGTTTCTTTCTTTCTTTGTTGAGATTATTTGCATGTTGACTTTCATACCAATTGGACTTGCAAAAATAATGCACCCTAATTCAGAGTTTCCTTGTAGTGTCACATGTACATAACTTTCTGTGCACATTGTGTTGATGCACAAGCTGGGCAGCTAAAGAATAGAGCCTTTCTTCCTTTGTTCTGTGAAGCTAGTCTTGTTAGTAGGTCTAGGTGTGGCAGTTTGGCTCTCTTGATGTGGCATTGACCTCACCATTCAGGGCACTTTCAGTTCTAGTAAAACAGTTTTGTGATGTCTTGGTTTTCCCTTTACTTGCCAATTTTCAGTTAAGATTTTTTTTCCTTAGTGGTGTTGGAATACTGCTGACCAAACTTAAATACAGTTTGTGTTCCCATTTATTTAGCAGGTTGATAGAAAAGCTTGTTATCTCTGGTGTAGTTTGGTAGTAACATTGGAACAAGTACACGATCTGCTCAGATGTAGCAAGAGAAACACTTGTTGTTCATCTTGTTCAAATAAATACTGTTCTGAAAATGTAAATCCTTTTGAGAGATTACATTTTAAAAGTAGCACTGTTGCCGCTGGTGGTGGTGGTGTCAGCGGATGCCTTTAATCCCAGCACTCAGGAGGCAGAGGCAGAGGCAGGCGGATCTCTTTGAGTTCCACACCAGCCTGGTCTACGAGAGCTAGTTCGAGGACAACCTCCAAAGCCACAGAGAAATCCTGTCTCAAAAACCTAAATAAACAAACAAATAAAATTAAAAAATAGCGCTGTTGCCAACTGTCCTAGTGTTCCATTCCATAGCCTTTATGATGTAGATTCTGTATATACCTAGATACCCTGTACTTTCAGTATTTTTCCTGGTAGTAATACTGACTTTTAGTAGTTTCCTGATAGTGATAATAAACCATCAGTAGATAGTAATCCACTTTTCCCATTCCTTAATCATTTTTCATTATACTAGCATTCCTTTAGGAATACTGGAGAAATCTCCTTCATGGGTGTTAGTTTTGTAACTGCCTGCATTTTATGTTACTCTTTCAACAGTCAAGTATGAGATTCTCTGCAAAAACAGTGTCTGTTGGGAAGAGGGAAAGTTGGAGAAGGGTGTTTGCGTTCTGTGCTTTGTGGTGGGGGCAAATTGGACTGTCCAGCCGTGACTATCAGCAGAATTCTCTCTTTTCCTCCCTCTCCCAATATAGGTTAACTCTAATCTTAGCTTTGCACTGTGTTCCAGATGCGGCAGGCCAGAAGGCTGTCGAACCCTTGTATACAGAGGTATACATCAAGAGCTGGTGAATGCAGCACGTATGTGGGCTCTCATGCAAATGTGCCTTCTTAGTAGAGGGCCTGGACTCGCTCCCTACTCACAACTGATCATAGAAGGTTGAGTTAACTGGACTGCCTTTTGCAGTTGTCATCACTAACGCAAACTATTTTACTGTAGTCATCAGGTTGACTATGTATAGTAAAAAACAAAAGTCAAAAGCAATCATACTAATGGAAGCTTCCAGAGTTTCAGAAACTAATTGAATTGCTGCAAGAGTTTTGATTTTCATAGTTTATGTATTTTGAGATTTTTTTTATTATTATACAACACTTAAAATGTGCCTTTGTTCTGATCCAGGCAAACTTCTGCACGCATCCACATTGGATAAACTATGTCACCAGAATTGCATGACATTTTATAGCTCTGGTGAAGTTTACCATGTAATGGGAGCCTGTAGTGTTTGCTGATTGTGGTACTGTTTTCAAAGCAGCTAGTGTCCTAAATGAGCACACGCCAGGAGCTGCCTGGCACCTGGCAGTGTCTTCAGATTTGTTATTAGAAGTACAATAAAATCAGTATTCACAACCGATCCTACTTCATCAGAGTTTTAAATGATTCAGTTGTACCCTTTCTTACTTTTAAAATCTTAAACCATATGAATGTGCGACTTATCCAGAGTAAACAATTAAATCATTTGCAATTAGATGCAGTGAAATTAAGAGAAGCAAAAACAAATTGTCAGACTACTGTCTGAAAAGTCTTGATTCTTGTTGATTTATAGCCCTTTATTTTTATGTTTTGTCTTTTTATTTTTTTTTAATACTTGGAATAATTCCCATTACTCTTAAATAAATGCTGGTAGACTCTTCTTTCAACACAATTCAGTTGGCAGTTGGAACACCATATTTCATTTTAGGTTAGCTAGGTCTTCTTAAGTGTCATAAGCTGACAAATTCAGCTTTGGTGACAGAACCAGTTTCTTAGGGGAATTGGTTGTTGGCTATCATTGCTTTGAACTCACCCCTAAAATGCATTGCTTTGGGAAGGAACTTGCACATTTATGCTGCATGGCTCATGCTTCTGCTTTGTGTGTGTGTGTATGTGTGTTGTTTGTTTTTCAGAGAATCAAGTCTCACACTGAGTAACTGACTAACTTTGCTGTCTGTGATTAGCTGTGTCTGACCACCACTCCTCTTTCCAGGAGCATTCCAGCTGTCCTTCAGAATCCAAATACACTGTCCGTCCTGCCGGGGCAGCAGCAGGCACCTCACATTCCGCAGCCTCTCGCAGCCACTCTCTGGTCTCAAGCCATACCATGGAGAAGCGAGGATTTTACGAATCTCTTGCCAAGGTCAAGCCAGGGAACTTCAAGGTCCAGACTGTCTCTTCAAGAGAACCAGCTTCCAAAGTGACTGAACAAGCCCTGCCCAGACCTCAAAGTAAAAATGGCCCTCAGGGAAAAGATGGTGAGCCAGTGGACTTAGATGATGCCAGCCTGCCAGTCAGTGATGTGTAAGGTGGGAGCACGTGGTGCCTGCCCCACTCACCCCTCAGTGTCCTTCCATGAGGCTTCTAGCCAAAGATGATAAAAGAGAGGGTGAATGGTTTCAGTGCACATATTATATATTGTCTCTTGGGTGTACTCTGTAAGCTGGCAAGCCAAGAATCTAGGGAGTGGCCAAGTCAATGTAATTTCTTTAAGAAAGGAAGGAAAAAAGCTGTGTCCATATTGAGTGTCTGTCTGAAGCTTTATATGTTTGGGTGGTAAAAATGTGTGTATATGTATGTGTGTGTTTTTCCTGGTAACTTTGAAATTTTAAATAACAACTTAAAACATTAAAATTTCTTATTATTTTGGTCATTTAAAAAAGCTAATATGACTCCCTATGAAATATTTAATCAATATTTACACATTCTTATTGGTTAACATTATAAAACGGGACTTTGCCAAACAAAAACTCCTAAACTCATAATGTCTGTGGTGCTGCAAAATTTATATTGCAATGTGGACTATTTAGAAATTCTAACCATTTTTGATATCCTGGCTTTTCAGGTGAGTGGTAAACTTTGCATAGAAGATTTTATTAGACTGTTGGTGCAGGTATGAATTGAAGGTATGGGGAGCAGCAAATGTGGGAACTAGAGCTCAGCTATAGCTAAGTTTTTTTTGTGGGACTTTTTTTGAGACAGTTTTTAATTTTTGTGTAGCATGGCTGTCCTGAAGCTTATGGTGATCCTCCTGCCTCTGCTGCCTCCCAAATTATAGACCCGTGTCACCAACACATAGCCTGAGACACTTTTTTGAAAAAACTTAGTACTTGCATCTATCGGTATTTTATTTCAGTAAAAAAATTTTGATCGTAAATTTTGGGAAGATCTGATTTAACACGGTTTCTCTATGTAGCCCTTGCTGTCCTGGTACTTGCTCTACAGACTAGGCTGGCCTTAAACTAACAGAGATTCGCCTGCCTCTGCCTCCTGAGTGCTGGGATTAAAGGCATGCACCACCACTACTTAGCTGATTTTTTTTTGTTTTTTTTGTTTTTTTGGTAAATAGATCTTATTTCTGAATTTGGATCAGTGTAAGACCTCAGTTCATATATAAAGTCATAACTGCCCTTAATTGTGAAATTGTTGTGGCCTCTACCTTTTCATCATTAATAACCTATATCCAAGTGCCTGTGTCTTCTCATGTCATTTAGGATTGTGCTCCAAAGTCCTACATGATTGGCTTTAATTAAATGTTTGAATAAATTAATTTCAGTAGCATAGCTTGACATATTAAATAAGATAGCATTTTATGTTAGAGATACCAGATCTTGGTGTTCTACTACCTGTGCAATATTTCTGTCTTGAAAAACAAATTTGAGTATGCATTTAATTGTGGGGATATCCTAAATAGAAGTACCTCTCTAAAGAACCCATAGTTCTGGTGTTGATCGATAGACTGGTCTGAGCAAGTACTGTTTGTGGCAAGTCTTAAGTGTTTGCTTTTCCCAGGCTGCTTCTCCATGGTATTTCTAATCCCACACACTTCTGTTTTGGAGTCATGGGTATTAGTGTTTTGCCTTTTAATGTTCTAAGACTACTTGTTGGAGGATAAGAAATTTGCTACTGTGGTGGGGTCTAGGGATTAAGATGTGTTGCTTGGTTGCCCAGTACAAGGACACACCACTCACCTTTTGTATTCATAAGCTAATATGCTAGAGTTTTATGTAGTTTTCTCTTTTGCAACTGCATGGAAAACCATAGGACAACAAGGTTTTTAAGCAGTTACTACCCTTCTGCTGCCATGTTCATTATCCAGGCTCTTTTGGAAGTTCCTTTTTCATAAACATGCCTAGGAACCCGTGTACAGACACTTGGCAGTATTGATGAACTTGGCGCTGTTTTCTTTGGTACAGCCTCCACAGTGCACGTTCATTTGAACATATTTTGGTATTGGTAATTTGATATATTTCATGGTGGCAAAATATTAGCTCTATTTTGGGACTTTTTATAGAATTAGCCTTATTCAAAAGCATAGAAATATGTTCTTGTGATCGTCAGAGACTCCTAATATTTATCTCCATTCTTTTGTAAGCTTATGAAAATTATTTAATTATTTTAAAACGTACTTTCCTGTAAATATGTCACATCTGAAGTGTCAACAGTTCCTTTGAATACCGTAATATTTGCTGCATTTTTTTCTGTGTGCATAACGTGTCTCCTTTCAGAACAGGAATGTGCCTCCTGATGTTTACTGTTACACCTGCTATCTTTGTATGTACAATTGTTGAACACTGTAATGACTTGAGAATAAACTGCTCAGAATTCATTTTCACTTAATTCCCATTTTGTTTGGTTCAGCTGTCATGTCCTCTTGCTGAGGACCCGAGTTCAGATCCCAGCACCTACCTGTAACTCCAACTTGGGGATTAAGATCCCCTCTGTGCTGGCTTGAATGGGAATGGCTTCTGTAGGCTCATATATTTGCATGTGATGAACTGTTGGAAAAGATCATGAGGTATGGACTTGTTGGAGGAGTTCTGTCATTGGTTTCAAAAGCCCACACCATTCCCAGTTCCCTTTCTATCTGCCTTCTGCCTTTGGATGAGGATATAAGTTCTCACCTACTTCTCCAGCACCGTGCCTGCCTGCATAACACCACACTCCCCAGAATGGTGATGGGCTGATCCTCTGAAACTGTAAGCAAGTCCATATTAAGTGTAAAGACACAGGGCTGCACGTGGTGACGCACTCCTTTACTCCCAGCCCTTGAGAGGCAGAGGCAAACAGAGCTCTTCCAGTTTGAGGCCAGCCTGGTCTACATAGTGAGGCCCTGTCTCTAAAGAAAGAAAGAAAAAAAAAAAGTTCCAATAGCTTAATTCCAATCTCATATAGAATCTTGGTGTTTGGAACGGTTTGAAAATCCATACAAGACATGATTAGAAGCATACTTAATTAGATGGCTTTGTATTTTCCATTTGGTAATCTTCACATTACAGAGATTCAACTTTCTCCATTTTCAAATGATTTGTAAAGATTGCATTTTCCCTAAAATTCCTTGGTCCCCTTAGCTCTCAGACAGGGCAGATAGCCCTCAGACTTCTTCAGAAAATAGAAAGTCAGATTTTCAAATAGTCACATTTTTTAAAATGTGTTTTTCTCAAACGTCAAGATGTGTCTTGAGGCTGCAGAGATGGTTCAGTAGGTAAGAGCACTCGACACACAGCACGAAGACCAGTTGCACCCACATAAAAAACTAGTTGTGGTCATTTTGTGCCTGTAACCCCGGTGCTGGTAGAGGACATTTATATGAGTTTCAGGCTTTTGACTGCCAGGTTCAAGGAGAGACCCTAACCCAACAGAGTATTATAGAGTAGGATACATGAAGTGTTCTGGCTTCCCCAAGTGCTCATGTATATGCACCTACACCCATGTATGTATATACACACACTTCCATACACACAAAAAATAATAGAAGTAAAAATTTTTAAGTGAGTTGTGTTGAAAAATATTGCTGAACTAGATAGTGTTTACAATGCTAGTTGATGAAATCTTGGTAGTCCACTGTCTGACATTAAAAAGTGACTTACTATTTTATGTTCATGTGACAATAGTGCCACCTTCTGGTATTGGTTGCTATATTTAAAGTAGTTTGACATCTATTTTACTTTACCCAGAAGGAAATGAGACAAGTTACATAACAGCATAAGATAGCTTTGAAATTCATAGAAATTTGAAATCACCTTTCCCAAGTTATTTTAATTAAACTTTCTTTGGAGGTAACTGTAGCTTCACATATACAAGAAATAATAAAGAGAAGCTGGGCATGTCTACAGTGAAATGTCATAAAAAAATAGGAGATAGGATTGTCTAGTACTCCCTTTACTCAGCTTTCCCCCAATGATATCTTCTAAAATTATAGTACAGTATTATAACCATGATATAGTCCAGAAATGGAATAGTCCCATCACTATAAGGATTCCCCTTGGTCCTCGTAGAGTCAGACCCATCTGCTGTCTTATAGCTTGAACACAAATTCATTCAATTCCCTAAAGGCATTTAAAGGATTTAAAACAATCTTCAGATGCTGAAGTTTGACCCTTAGTCCCTTTGGTATTGCTGTCTGTGTAGGAGTCTTGAGAACTGCCCTTCATATCTCCTGATTGGTAAGTAATGGGATTTTCAGTTTATTGTCAGACACCTATTTCACATGACAGATGTCTTTTTACATTCGTTTTGGTTAACTTTGAGAATAACAGGGAAATATCTTGTTGATAACCACAGTGCAAGGCAAGTGCTGATTAAAAAACCTTTTTTAAAGGTTTCTTATTTATGTAGGTGTGAGCATGTAAGTGCAGGTCAGAGGACAACATTGGGGAGGCCATTTTCTCCTACCCTATGGGTACTGGGGATTGAGCTCAGGCTTAGTGGCAGCTGCTTTTAGCAACTGAGCCATCTTGTTGACTCATCAGGCTTTGGATGTAGCTGTAGAGAGTGAATGTAAAGATAACTGTTTTATATACATAACTGGTAGATGTTTATCTTCTTTTGACTTCTTGGGGTTGGGGTCAGATTCTTGTCTTCCATGCACTGCAGACTTAAGGATATGAAAGAATTTGCCAAAACAAATAGAAAGTTCAACACACAATAAGATCTCCTGTGGAAAACTACACCTCCAGAGGCTAAGATGATCAAAGAATGATGGCATGGATAAGAAGCAGTGTAGTAGAGAGGACGTCTAGGAAGCCCAGAACAAGGTGCTTCTAGGAAACTTCTGTATTACGTGACAAGGAATGCATGATGTTGATTTGCAATCTCAGTGGTTCAAGTGGATAGAGAATTTAAGTTATTCTTTTCAAGGTTCAAGGACCTTTCTCTCTTAAAAGCTATGACTCACAAATCTCTCCTTTTCCTAGTTTTCTTCAGGTGGAAGGTAAGAAAGGGAGAGAATGTGGGGGGAATTTCCATGACTGAGGAACTTGCCCAGTTAAGTCCTCCTACCTGGTATTCGCCCTCTTAATTTCCTTTCATGTATCATGATAAAATGCCGGCAAAAGCAGCATAAGGGAAAAGAGCTTATTGGGTTCACATTTCCAGGTTACAGTCCATCACTGCTGGAAAGTCAAGGTGGCAGGAACTTGAAGCAACAGTGTCATTTGCAGTCAAGAGCAGAGAACGGTGGATTAGTGTATGTATGCTAGCGCTTGACACTTTCTTCACTCTGTATAGTCCAGGATACCCTACCCAGGGAATGGCACCACCCACAGTAGGCAGATCTTCTCACCTCAGTTAACATAATCAAGACAATCCACATGGACATGCCCTCATTAGACGCCAACCTGTTGTGGACAGTCCTTCATTGTGACCCCTTTCCCAGGTGGTTTTACATTCTGTCCGGTTGACAATCAAAGTTAACCATCACACTGTTATTTCCAAATGGGAATGGGAGCCTTTAGTCCCAGGGACATCTATGCCTGGTGACCATAATATATATCTAGGACATCTGTGCCTGGTGACCATCATATATACCTAGCTTATAACTTTGGTTCCTACTGTTCCTTATCCTTTCTTCCCACTCTTCCATTTGCCTGTTTATATTTTGAATGTGAGAGATTTTCCAGTGGATCCTGTGTGGCAAGTGAGAGGGAGCGAGGCACCAGTAATACAGGGGACAGCCTGTTTTTTGGCCTGAATAACTAGAAGCATAGATGAGCTGTGTCTGGGGTAGTAGATCTGCAGGTAGGCAGGCTTGAGGGAGAAGCCCACAGTCTCAGTAGTGAACATGTTATGTTTGAGATACTTAGCTAGACATCCAAGTAGAAATGGCCAGCAGGCAGTTAGATAAACAAATTTGGAATTGAAAAAGTCAGCTTGACAGAAGTTAGAGTTATTTGGGAAGAAGGAGCCCAGTTGAGAAAATGCCTCCATCAGATTGCCTGTAGACAAGAACATTGGTTAGTGATTGCTGCCGGGGCGGGGGGTGCAGGTGACCCTATGGGGAGTGCCACCCTTGGGCAGGTAGTCCTGGGCAGTATAAGAAAGCAGGCTGAGCAAGCCATGGGGAGCAAGCCAGCAAACAGTGGCCTCTCCTTCAGTTCCTGCCTTCAGCTTCCTGTCTTGGCCTCCCTTAATGGGCTGTCACCTGGGATATGTAAGTCAAACTAACCCTTTCCTCCCAAAGGTTTTTTTCTTTCTTTCTTGTTTTTAAAAAATATTTGTTTATTTAAATGGATACAGAATTCTGCCTGCATGTATGTCTGCACACCAGAAGAGGACACCAGGTTGCTGGGAATTGAACTCAGTACCTCTGGGAGAGTAGCCAGTGCTCGTAACTGCTGAGCCATCTCTCCAGCCCCCAAAATTGTTTTGGTTATGATATTTATCACAGCAATAGGAACACAAAGACAGAAGAAATAAATGCATCATGTATACCTGGTTCCCATGGAGGGTAGAAGAGGGTGTCTGATCCCCTGGAACTGGAGTTACAGTTGTCTATGTGCTGCCATGTAGCTTCTCTTTACTGCTGAGCCATCTGTCCAGCCCTATGATGTATTATTTTTTAAACATTTAAGCCAAGGATGTCAGAGCACATCTTCTATTTCCAGCACTGAGAGGCAGAGACAGGCAGATCTTAGTAGATTCCAGGCCAGGAGGTCTACATAGGAAATCCCTGGCTAACCAGAGCTACATAGTGAAACTGTTTCAAAAACCAAACAAACAACACACACTCACAGTCATCACATTGTCACTCTAATGCATACACCTCTGATCACTTCCAATGCTTTTTGCCTCATGGTCCATGAAGACCAACATGGTTTCACTGTAGCTCCAGTTTCTGTTGCCTTGCTTGGTGTCATCATCCTGATTAAGGTGACAGGAAGGCCCCCAGGGAGAGGAGCCCAGCATTCACATGCTGAACATTGGGTTCTATTCTGATTCTGAAAGCTGTTCCAAGACAGCTTTCATGGAGCCCTAATTGTTAGGGGATTTTTTTTTGCTGACCTAACAGCTTGGCTCATGATTGATTCTTGTCCTTACGCTTAAAACTAGGACAAGCCTTAATGAACACTGCACAGTGTCTGTGGCTATGCTTAGCCAGTTTCTTTCCAGCAGAAGAAATAATGTGCTTGATTAAATTCACTTAGCATTCAAGGGCTTCACGTGGGCCTGAAATTTCCTTAGGTCCCAGGGGATGAGGAGGAGGAGAGGCAGACACACAAAGTTCACCTATGTTACAGGGCACACCAGATAGTTATTGAAGGAACACTCTAGGCTATTCTACAGGAACGATCTTAGAGGATTGTAACATAGAGGTTTTGTGTTAGTTAC